CAGCCAAACACAAATGTTTAAGAAAATAAATACAAGTCAAATTGTTCGGTGGTGAGACTAGGTTGTTCGGCTGTTTGAAGTCCACTGATATCCGCCATTTTGTTTTAATTATTTTCTGAAATAAAGCGTTTCCAGTTATCCGGTGGTCAAAGTCAGTGGTTCGGCTGTCAAAAGTCCCGTATCGATTGCCCATAGAGCATGACTTTTTACTACCGACTAACCTACAAACTATACCAACAGACTGACTAAAAAAATTTTAAACTGTGAAATTTCCATGAACAAAACAATTTCCATTCGATTTTTTTCATTCGTAATTCAACATTTTTCGTCCCCACCCCATTCTATCATTCACCGCCATGTTGTTGTATTTTTTGGATATCACATTTGTGTAGGGAGCTAGCCCGAGACCCTATCACGTCTATGGCAGCTATTTCTGACGGCTAAAATGCCTCTAAATAGCTATCAAAGGACTGGGAATCGGACTATTTTGGTGTTAGAAAGGTAAAATATGGCAAAGATTGGTCATTTTAGACACCACCAACCACTTTTCGGAGTTACTTTTCGCATCTTTGACTGGTGTTTGGACATGTAGTGTCTTCTAATTATTGATCTTGATTGTGTTTTCTGGTAATTGCAACTTTTTTTGATAGAAGGGGGGAGGTAACAGAAACCATATCCTATTTTCTTACCCATTTCCTTATCCAATATTACTGTTTTACACCGGATTTAATCCTCTATTCTGTAATGGGGGTGGGGCATGTACTGTATTTGTTTAGAGTTATTGGAAAAGTCTTCTCTGAGTCCCAACTGGACAGTCTCGGAGATGGTTGCCGTTAGTGGTGGGGGTGGGGTGAGGTAAATACAACTACTTGTTCATGCCCCCTACCCCCTACCCCCCTCCACCTTTTCTTTGTCCAGATTTTACTGTCCTTGAGAATTAGGAAGAGACCGGGGGGGGGTAGAAATACTAAGAGATACTTTTTAGAGAACGTCACATAGTAGTTAACATGCTGTGTTTCATTTCAAACAGAGTAAGCTTACACTTCTGGTTTAGCTACCTGCGATTGTGTTTGTGGAATCAAATTTTCTCTAAGTGTAGGTTTTATTGTTTGAATTAATTTTGCTGTCTTTTTTGTCCAGTAACTCAGTGTTTTATCTTTGAAATACAAATACGCGTACATATTGAAAAAAGTGGGTCAGTTGCTAAGTTGTAAAAAAAGCGTCTGGTATGTTCGAGAGTCCTAAAGCGTCTGGTATGTTCGAGAATATATGTATATGATTCTTAGATTGACCTTTGACTTAAAAATAGTGGCATGATTGTTGCTTCAGTTTGGTCTAGTGGTTTGCACGTGCGCACACGAGAGAAGAGGTCACGGGTTCAAATCTCTTTTTATGACGTCATTATACTACCAAAATATTTTTGATTTATTTCACCTTCACAAACATTAGAACAGCCATTTTTATCTTCGAAATGGATCATTCTGGTCGGCCTGCGACTTCCAAATTTATAAAAATGAGGTTTTCTGCACAAAATAACTGTTTTCTTAATTGACAAAAGTAGTAAAACTCCCCTGGCAGTAGACTGGATTCGAACCCGTGCCTTCGTAACTTGCCGCTATACCATACTCGCTTCCGATCGAGCCACTGCGGCGATACTTCGATGTGGTTCAATCTTCTATATACCCATAGTTATTATATATAAACGGATTCATAAAGTATCCAATTGAACCATTAACTTGCATCGGCGCAGTAGCTCACTCGGATGCGAACTGGACAGTACACTTAATATGACGTCCCGGGTTCGAATCCCTTGTGATCCAATGAGTGTTTTTATTAGTTTGACTCTATCTTTCCTTAATAATATACAACTAAAATGATGGAAAATTAACAGCGCGGCGTAGCACAGTCGGTAGCGATGTACCATGCATTGATGATCTGGAGACGAGCGGTTCGGATCCCACATTAAGCAAACTATTTTATCCTATTTAGAATACGTCTTAGACATATATTCAACTAAAAAGCCGTATTATATGTGCATCTCAGTAGCTCTGTCGGTAGCGTGACTGATCCGTTAGACCAAGAGCTTAGGGTTCGAATCCTGCCTCGCGAAATCCATTTTTACAAGTCGGAAATTAACTCTTGCAATATAGGATACTAAATAACCACGAATTTGTATATCGCGTGTAGCGCTTGCGGTAGCGTGTCGGACTTTCATCAAGACGACGCGGGTTCGAACCCCGCTAAAGACAGGAAAAAAAGGTAAAATTAAAGGTAGTAAGGTAAAATTAATTGATGATGTAATGTATGTAATTGAATATGATATATAACTAATACAAACTATGTTTCATTCCAGGTCAAGAAGAAGATAAGCCACGCTCACACAGTACAGCAAGAGGATATACGCCAACACGGAGTAGTGGACAAGGTAGATATGGTAAAGTACGCCCACGTGGAGGAGATAGATAGGGGAGAGAATGCTAAGATTGATGTAATTTATTTTATTAAACATACATTATTATTATTATTGTTATTTTTCATCTGACAACATATTTTTTTTCTAAGTTCCTGTTTTAATCTTATGACCTGTACCGGCCTGCACGTAACTTCCCTTTTTACAGGTTAAACATTTTGACCTGTACCGGCCTGAATCTAAAAAATCAGTAATCCGAGATAGGGAGACCCTAAAATTTTGGAAATATCAGAATAATCGGACTTATTTTCAGAGAATCAATCCAAGAGTCTTCATATCTCATTTCTGGAGTTAGCTCTATCATTCCAAGAGTCTTCAGGTATCCAAGACATCTTCAGGTTTAAGTCCTACCATTCCTTCAAACACCTTTCTTCTTCTCGTCCACTGTCACAGACACTTTGGTGTTATTCGTCCGATAATTACCACCACCGCATTCAAGCTAACGTATCAAAATCCAGAACCTTAAGATGTTGTTGGACCAAACGGGGCTCGAACTCTCGACGGTAGGATTACAAGTCCACCGTCTTACCCACTGAGCCAAGGTTTGATTGTCGGAAACATTTGAAATAAGTACCCTATATAGGATAAGATCAATCTAAAACTCTGTTCAAAAGCTCCTCAGTTGCCCGGGATTCGAACCGAAGACCTCAAGCTCGTCAGCCGTACCTTCCTACCGACTGAACTACTGTGACTTCACATATGGCTGTGGTTTTAAGACACCTATATGTATCAGAATCCAGTTTTAAATGGAGTCAAAATACACCAATTCTCGAAGCGGGAATCGAACCCTGGATATCTAGCTAGTCAGCCATACCACACTACCGACTGAGCTACTGTGACTTCACATCTAATACTGGTTTTAAGACACCGATATGCATCAGAATCCAGTTGTAAATAGAGTCAAAATACTTATCGTTTTCCCCATTCTCATAGAAGGAATCGAACCCTGGATCGCTAACTAGTCAGCCATACCACCCTACCAACTGAGCTAGTGTGACTTCACATCTACCACAGGTTTTAAGACACCAATATGCATCAGAATCCAGTTGTAAATAGAGTCAAAATACTTATCGTTTTCTCCATTCTCATAGAAGGAATCGAACCCTGGATCGCCAACTAGTCAGCCATACCACCCTACCAACTGAGCTAGTGTGACTTCACATCTACCACAGGTTTTAAGACACCGATAAGCATCAGAATCCAGTTGTAAATAGAGTCAAAATACTTCTACTTTTCCCATTCTCGTAGAGGGAATCGAACCTTAGACCTTTACCTCGCCAGCCGTACCATCATACCGAATGAGCTACTGCGACTTCACATCTTACGCTGGTTTAAGACACCTATATGCATCAGAATCCGGTTTTAAATAGAGACCGAAATCTCCACCCCTTCCCAATCTCAACTACGAATTAGAACCATTGACACCTTGTTCGTCAGCCATACCATCCAACCGACTGAGCTACAATCCTTCCTGTCTAAACCAGTCTGCCAGCAAATGTAGTGTATTTAGTGGACATGTTGGAGATTCAGCTATAGTATTAGGCTCAGATGTTGGGAAAAATAATGCTATTGTCATGAAAGCTGACTGTTTAACTAAGGTGAGTAAGAAAAATCTGTTTTTGAGAAAAATGAAGATTTACAATTTTTCTCGGAGGGGGTGTCTGTTAAACACAAATCTTGCAGTGGAATAGCTCAATCTTTATTCTAGTGAGTTAGATTATGGTCTGTTAATTGAAAAGGTGCAGTGGGTTTTGATTCGTCCTTAA